AGAGAGAGAGAGAGAGAGAGAGAGAGAGAGAGAGAGAGAGAGAGAGATGAGAGGGTGCACCCATGAAGCTCCACCTATGGCTGCTGGGGGAGGGAGAGCCAATTTTCTTCAGGGAGGCGACCACACTTTAGTGAATGGCCTTATACCCATCCACATAAGGGCAACACTGACGAACATTGCTAAAATTTTAAAAATGCAAAACGCAGACATGGAATTGAGGAGGGACATGGTGGGGGGGGGGGTCTGGGAAGAGTTAGAGGGGAGTGGGGTAGATAGGATCAAAATATAGTATACACACACACTGAATTCTCAGAGAGTAAATAAAATGTTTCAAAATTTAAAGGTTACTTTAACATACCATGAATTCCCACGAAGACATTAATGCCATCATTAGCAAGTATTTGCTGTAGCCCCTACCATATCTCTGCAGTGCTAAGTGTTGGGATTACGGGAGTATAAAAGAAAGGCCCTCCCTGGGAAAAGGCTTTGTTTTTTAGTCATCAGGAAGAAGACAAGCAGGGACTAAGAAACATAAAAAAATAAATCTCACCCAAGCTGGCTTTCTTTCTGTCTAGCTCTTCCCCTTTCTGGGCCTTTCCAGCTCTCCAGAGTCATAGCAACTCCTCCGAGCTAACAAGCCTAGGGACTTGCAGTCTCTCTGCCCTGCCCAGGGGCTCTTCCCTAACAGGTTGCTCCTCCATTCAAATCAGGATGTTGATTCTTGGACAAACTGTCTATCATCTTTGCGTTCTATATCACATAGCAACTAGCAAACATCATGGTTTGCTATGCAAAGCAGAAAGGGTGGGCCTGAAGTGAAGCCTCTTCCAACTTCCTCATTTCTGCTGCTGGCTTCCCCAGCTCTGACTTTCTTTGTTCCCACTGTGTTTCCCCAGAAGAGCTACGAGGAATGCCTTTAACAACCACCTGGACAGCTGGCACCACCTGCATTTTACAAGTGAGGAAACTGAGGCTGTGATACTTTTATTGATGTTTAATTACTCAACCTCTACCTAGTAATTGGGTTTTCCAAGGCTGCCATAGTTGAAAGAGTTCCTTCCCATCTCTTGGGTTCTCAGGAGTTGTCCGGACACTCCTACAAGGCCAGGATGGAAGGCGCTGCACCTCTGTTGCAAAATGGTGCTACCCTCCACTTGCAGTTCCTGCTTCACACTGCAACCCACTGCATGTGTAAGCCTTGGTCCGGGCCTTTATTTGCCTCTCAGAACTTAGGAAAGTGAGACTGGAGCCCTATGCCCTCTGAAGCCTCAAGGAAGCAGAGATCAGGTAGCACATTTGCTCATGAGTGATATAAAAATTAAGTCCTAGATGATGAACCACTATTATTCTTCTACCCACATGTCCAAATATTTTTATTAATAAAATCACTCTGGGTGACATCTTGGTGACAGAGCAGATCTCTATCCCTGGCCCCTCCCAGCTGGAGCACCCCAGGTTTCAGCATCGCCTTCCCTGGAGGTTTGGGGTCTCTGCCTCTACAGGGTCTTTGGGATGCTTGAGTTACTGGATAGAAGGAACCAGACGCAAAATCGACCTGACTGAAAAAGACAAAATTACCAGTATCAGCAGGACCATGGTAAACTAATGGATTTCGGGCACATACTGGGGAAGGAAACACATTGGTGCGGGAGAATTGTCTGTATTCTGTCAATCATGTATTTTAATAAAACGCTGATTGGCCAGGCAGGAAGTATAGGTAGGTCAACCAGACAGGAAGTAGAGGTGGGGCAATGAGAACAGGAATATTCTGGGAAGCAGGAAGCTCCCTCTCCATTCCTGCCCAGATCACTGAAGAAGCAACATGTGAGCTGACAGCTGGAAAAGGTACTAAGCCATATGGCTAACACAGATGAGAATAATGGGTTAGTATAAGCTATAAGAGCTAAAAAGTAGCCAGAGCTAAGGGCCAAACAGTTTTATAACTTAATGTAGACTCTGTGATTTTCTTTGGGACTTGCCGGTTGTGGGGTACTGGGCGGGACAGAAACTCCAACAAGCCAGCCGTCATGTTACAGCACATGACAGTGAGGGGGGAAATTTCTAAACATTTTCATTTTGGAGACTACAAGAATGAATTAGCTGAGAACTCTCTGCAGTTTGCCCAGTGGGTAAAGTCTGTTAGGATGAAGGTTCCCCACAAAGAGCTTCCTGTTAGAGACACCTTTGTCCTGCCCCCATTCAACTGATAAACTTTTCTCGTCCCCTGACACAGTCCAAGACAACAGGCACTTGGGAATGACAGGCAAAGGAAAGCAAAGTGGAGCAGTGGCTGTGATGGTGGCAGGCGGGGGAGGGAACACCCAGAGGTCAAGGTGGGAGGGGTCAATGGGGCACCAAATGCACTCCCTGCTTCTGGGACTTAGCACCTACTGCTGTCTACACTGCAGTCTTCTTACTCCCGGGTCTGTCAGGAGAGCATACTCATGTCTGAGCCTGTGCTGGAGTCCTGTACAGGGTCCTTGACCTTCATGAGGATCTGTTTCATAGCAGGCGTGTGGGTCGGGCTATTCTGATGATGCTCAATGGAGCAGGCTCCCTGGCAGAGCCACAGCCTGCTTCTTAGAGGGTGCAGCAGGGCTGTGCTGCATCCCACAAGACTGGAGTGTTGGTCACATCCATTATGAGATATTTACAGGCACCCCAAGCCTAGATCCAGGCAGAATGGCTTTCTGATTGTTCTTTTTCCACCTGAATGAAATTCAGTTCGTGGAAGGTTTAATAAGTCCTTCTGGGCCCCTGAGAAAGAACTGCTCAACTGCTCCCACGGATGAGTTTCAGCCTCTGCATCCCCAGGCCCTGGAGGGTCTAGGGTCCAAAGCTCCAGCCTGGAAGCCCTAGGCAGTGCTAGGGTTTGCTGTTCCCAGGTATTCTGTGCTAAGAGCCAGAAGCCTGACACAAAAGGTGATTGTTACCAGGGGCCTTGTCCCCCTGCTCACTGCTGCCCACCTGGGAGACAAGCTTTGTCCATTTCTGGGTTAGAGAAACACCCCCAATGCCACCCCTTCCCGGCTTCAGCATCTGAGGTTCGGAGAGAGGACACAACCGGCATAGGGATGTCCAACAGTCTGTGGAGACACTGAGCCCAGGACTTGGGGTCCTCAACTTTCTGAGCACAACCCTTACAGTATGAGCAGCTGTGGGAACTGGACAGCGGGAGCCCGGCAGGTGACAATGCCCTGCATGTCGGAGAAGCAGACTGTATAGAGGCCACGCCTCTGTACCCCTCTAGCTCCAGTCTCTGCCTGCTGGGCCTCCCTCCCTGAGGCCAGCACCACACAGCAGCCCATTCTTGCTTTCTGAAAGGAGCCTCCTGCGCCACGTGACATTACGGCCTTGACACAGGGAGGCTCAGAGGGCTCACGGTCCTATCTCTGAAATGCATTCTGAGCAGAAATGCAAAGCAACAAAACGAAACACTTTCACTGAGGACAGTGGACTAAGGACGAGCAAACGGCTTCCTGTCAGAGACACCTCTGTCCCATTCCTTTGTCTGGCTTTTCTTGTTCCCTCCCAGTCCTACAGACACGTGGAGAAGACACAGAGGAAAATAGAGAGGAGTGGCGGCTGTGTGGGTGAGAAGGTGGGGGGTACCGAACACACAGAGAATCAAGGTGGAACTGGGCAATGGGTAACGGGGTACCAAGTAGAATCCCCGACTCGGGGTCGTTGCACACACTGCTGTCTACCGAGCAGTCTTTTGGACCCCAGAGTCTTGTCCTTTCATTGCATCTACTTTGCTTGCTATTTTGTGTCTGTGCAGGTGCACATGTGTGTGCAGATGCATGAGTGTGCATAGGTGTGCGTGTGATGTCCCTTTTGTTAGGAGCCATCCACCTTGGGTTTTGAGAGAGGGATCTGGGCTCACCAATTGGGCTATGCTGACTGGCCAGCGAACTCCAGGAATCTGCCCATCTTCGTGTCCCTGGTGCTAAGGTAGCAAGTGTTACTGTACCCAGACCTTCACACTCGCGAGGCAGGACTTTATTAAACTGACTCATCACTGCCTCCAGGACTGCCCAAAGGCCCTCCTGCTCACCTTAAAGTCACCTTGCTGCCACTCCCCCTGGCTCTGTAGCATTTCCCCTGCCTTAACCAGGAGATGACTCTGCACTGGGGCTCAAGTTACTTGTTTTTCTGTGTGTCCCCTGCTGACCTGGGAGATTGGAGCTCACTAGTCTGCCTTGCCCAGGGGCCCCCAGTTGAGAACAGTGACTTAGGGCACTGGGGAACACTCAGGGCCTAGAGCCAGGTTCTTTCTGCCTGGGCCTCACAAGGGGTGGGAGATGCTCAGACCTCATGGGGGGGAACAGGGGTGGGGGGAGGGGAAGATCAGCAGCCACCTGGAGCAAGCAGCCTAGGACCCTGAGGCCTTAAGTCTGAAGTTTTTCTTTTCTGGTTGACCCCCGCTCAGCAAATTATCGGTTCCAGGGAGGGAGGGACTTCCTGTGGTTTTGCAAAACCAATTCACCAAAAATAACCAGGTGGTGTAACTGTCCAACCACCCAAGGCTGTGTCACTCGAGGGTGAGATGTGTCTGTGGGCACCTCTGTGGCTGAGGCAGGATGTAAGACAGTCATGAGGAGGCGCCTGGCTGGCCCCTCTGCTGCTCAGCCTTCTGCTTCCTAGAGAGCTCCTGAGGGAGGTGGGTACACTTCTGCCAGTCACCCGGGACTTGGGCTGTTCTTCAGAACAACCACGGGCCAGCCCACTTCTTAGTTCGAGGCCCCATAGCTCTTCCCAGTAAGCCATAGTTCTGCGTGAGGTCACCAAATCACGAAAGCCACAGCTCAGCCTTTGGTGGAGATAATCAGTCTGACACCATCCCAGAGACCGCGGAGCAGTTTCTAGAGTCAAGGAAAACAGAGTTGTTCTTACCTGCTGTGCCACGTCAGTGGAGTCCCTTGACCTCTCTGAGTCTCAGTGTCTTCATCTGAAAAACAGAAACAATGGCTCAGCTTCACCAGCAGGAGGGCCAATGCCTGTAGGACCAAGGAGAGGGTTCCTGCAGCATGTCCAGCTCAGCCTTACACAGCAAATGCGAACTCTGAAAGTGGAGTGATGGCCTCGTTAACTGTTCAGTGCCAGGGAAGAATACGCAAGTATCTAAAACAGCACAGGGCAGAGCGACAGAGCCATGTGTCTCTACTTCCTGTTCAGAACGGAAAGAGCAAGGCTCTGGAGACTAGACCTCTCAGCTCACTTTCAGTTCCCAAATGTTAAATGTGGATCACCTGGCCCAGAGTCTGAACTACTGGGGGTGCTGGCAGGTCCAGCTCCTCCCACTCCTGGGGGATGGATAGGACTGGAAGCAGACATGGAAGCAGGACTGGCCCTTTCCTGTGGGACCACAAATAGGGGCTGAGCCCAACACACACCCCAACCTCAGGGCAGTGGCCGCCTCATAGGGAGGGGGCAGCAGGCAAGATGTCAGCTGCACTTTGGGGGACTGGGGACCATGAGGACAGAGTCTGAGCTCAGATCCCAGGTCAGAGGCCATGACTTTTCTGACTCAGGATCCTGCTGAGTGTTGCTGTAAGGGTCTCAGAAATGGGGTCCAGAGTTAGGCTGTTCTTTGGGGTAAGAGATTGATTGGGCAAGTTCTTAGCACGACAGAAACACAGCACAGGATGGGGGAGGGGTTTTTACAGGTTTCAGAGGTGGGGGAGGGAGTCCCCTGCCTGGTAGTTGATAAGTAACCCCTTATCCGTGCCTGCTTGCAGGTTATCTCTGATTCCCAGGGAACACAGGGAGGCAGAAGTTCTGCCCTAGAGTTAATGTGTGTCCATCATGTGGGAGATGTGACATGCAGGCCCTCTGCTTAGGGTCTCAGGAGTCTTCCTGTAAGGAGGACAGACTCAGACTCTCAGGCAGACTGTCCGGGTGCCTGTTATTTCCCCCATAGCAATGGGAATTGCAGAACAGTTGAGTGTGGAAGCTGCTGCAGGGGAACATGGCTTGAAAGGCACCTGACCTAAACTTAACAGTCACAGGTCACACGGGGGCAGGAGGCAGAAAGAAATTCTGACTCCAGAACATTCTTTTGCAGGAAGGAAGCAGACAATCAGGTAGTTTGTAGAGAGAAGTTGAATCTGAGAAGGAGGGGGGCTGATGGTTGGTTGAGCTTGTGTCCTAAGTTCTGAGATGGGCAGGACAGCACCAAACATCAAGTGTGCTGAGCTGAACAATTGCTCCTGCCTAGGACTGAAAGCTCTCCTGCCAGGCCCGACCCTTCTCTTGTGCCAGAATGCTCCCTCCATGGCTCTGAACCTGGGTTAGCTGAGGGCTGCTACCAACAGTGGATGATCCAGAGCGTGCGATGTTCATGCCACATGTGTACTTACAGGCACAGACTATGGGAGTAGATGCCCAGGGCTGTCACTCAGTGGCTTCACACCCCCCTGTCACGGAATGTGGCTGCCCCTCACTTTCCCCATTTATAAAGAATGACAATAATAATTCTTTCCTATGGTTGCTGGAAAGATTCAGAGGCCAAAATAAAGACAGTACTTCAGATGTGTATTGTAAGTGCTCGCTAACGGCTGGGACACCACCCTTACCCCCATCGTTGTCATGACCATGACCAGTACCACTACTGCTATCATCACAAACATTACTACTGTAATGTACAAATAGTTATTCCCTGCCTCCTCCTCCTAACTACCATCACTATTACATCATCAAAATATCATCATCACCATCAAAAATATCACCACTATCATTATAATCATCACCATTACAAACATGGCCATCACCTCATCACTATCATCAGACACACCACCACCGCGATCATGATCACACAGAACACCAGAATATCATGATCAGCATCTATCTCGGTTTCTTTTCTGATGCTACGATAAAATACCCTGACTAAAGCAACTTAAGGAATAAAACATTTATTGGGATCACGATTCCTGATCACAGTCCATAACCGAGAGGAAGCCAAGGCAGCAGAAAACTGAAGGGGCTGGTCACATTGCAACCAGCCGAGAACGGAAAACAAGAGGTTAATGGGTGTATGCCTGCAGTCAGCATGCCTCCTCCAGTCTTAAAAAGTTCAGGATTCCTGTCAAGTCCAAAAGACACTCCTTCCCCCAGCTTCTCATTCCTACATGCTTTGTCATTTTGGCCAGGTGCTTGCGCGTACTCTCGCACTCTCTCCTCTCTCCCTCCCTCCCTCCTTCCCTTCCTCCCTCCCTTTCTCGCTCCCTCCCTCTCTCTCTCTCTCTCTCTCTCTCTCTCTCTCTCAGCTTCTCAGCTTTCTCTTTTTTTTTTTTGTCTTCCTCACTCTTGCCCCTCTTTCTTGGTCATCTCTTCCCCTCCTCTTCCCCCACCCTTCATGGTCCATTCTCCTATTCAGTCTACTATTTTCTCTCCCTATCTATTCTGGACTCCTCCAGATGCCTCTGGCTCTTTACCCCCTCAGATCTACAACAAAAACCTTCTCCCCAACCATATCTTAGAGTGGTCATGACCTCATTTTATACATCTGGTGCCCAAAGGAAAAGGAGGGCATGACAGATTCTAGGTATGGTTGAGGAGAAGGTTTTCATTGTAGCTATAAGGGAGGGTAAGACCAGAGGTATCTGAAAGACTCCAGACTGAGTGAGTATGGCCAGCAGAATAGACTTGACCTTGAGAGAGGAGAGAGAGAGAGAGAGAGAGAGAGACTAAGAGGGCACAGAGAACAAAGAGAGTGCACAGCCAAAATGTCTGAGCTAGTAGGGAAAGAGAAACTGGAGAAAGGGAGGTGAAACACAGGGGCTGAAGAAGTTTAGGGTAAGGGGTAGGGTGAGAAGTTCTGAGAACAGCCAGGACTCTATAGCAGGTACTTTGAGGCTGGCAGAGACTGCAGTCAGAGTTTGCTTTAATAAGTTAATAGGCACCTCAGCTAGTCATTTGTCCCTGGTTTCTTTGAAACCTAACAGTGCGGGAACACCCACTTTGTACAATTTCCTTCCTAGGGAATGCTGCCACTCACAGGGAGCCGATTTCTACTTTGATTAATATAATCAAGATAATCCCCTACAGACATGCCCTCAGAGCAACCTAATCTACACTTCCTTATCAGGTGATTCTAGACGATACCAAGTTGATGAAACTAACCCTCATCACCACCACTGTCATCACCATCATCACCCTAACCACTGTCACCACCACCACCATGATCACCCGCCTGAGGCCAGATGTTCACATTTCCTTGGACCTGCTTCCCAGATAAGGAAGTTGAGGCTGAGACTTCCTCAATCAGAATCAGTTATCATTACAATAGTTAAAAACAGTGAGCTCAGGGAGGGCGAGGAGGTCAAGAACATGGTGCTTTCCCAACACTGCTGAGCCGCTTGTGTTAAAGAGCCTCAAGTACAAGACAATGCATGTGAAGCATCAGAAACTATTGAAAGACCTGGATAAATCCAGACCCCCTTTAGCAGGAAAACTAGAGCCAAAAATCTAGGTTCAGTGACTCTGTTAGACCCTCGGCAGAAAGGAAGGGTTGTGAGGAAGTGGAGAAAGGGGGCCACCTGCAAGTCCAGAGGAGCCCTCACCAGAACCAACGCTAAAACTTTGATCTTGGATTTCCAGTCTTCAGAACATGAAGTATTACGTTTTTGTCCTATGAGCCCTCCCTCTGCTGATGGTATTTTGCCATGGCTGCCCCGGACAAAGGAATGCAGAGCTCTAGCCATGATCCCACCTTACAGATGAGGAGGCTGAGGTACAAGGTTAGTAAGTAGATTATGATGCTGGTAGTCACACAACAGCCAAGAGACACAGGTGAGACTTAGGCATCCAGCTACACAGTCAATTGGCAGGCAGACAAAGTTACTGTGCAAATATTTATATTCCCGGCTTCCTACCCCACCCCTTTATGATAAGGGGGACAACATGCTCCCAACTCACCAACATCAGGTGGTCATGTCACTTGCTCTGGCAACGACGCATGCCATCTCTGGTAGACGGCTCCAATGTGCCTGTGTGGTCCCTTCAGGTATCACAGAAGCTAGTCAGCATTTAGAGACTGCCCTCAGCCAAAGCAAGGCTGAGAAAATGCAGCTAACAGCTCATTCACCTCTTACATGAGCACAATTCCCTACTAGTAGAGGGTATTGCTAAGTAGAGGGTATTGTTCTTTACTCAGCTAAGCTTACAGATCCAGAGTCCCTTCTGCAATGACTACTTTCTACCACCAAGCATTTGATTTATAAGGATGGAGGAGGGGGTCAGGAAACCTGCTTCTATCCACCCACTGTGACATTAAGCACCTCAATGGCCATGAATAATGCCACTTCACGTCTCTGATTCTTGGTGTTCATGTGCAAAAGAAGGGTGGTGTCAGTCATTACTTCAGGTTCACAGAAAAGAGTGGACACGGAATTACCCTTCAGAACTTTACTAGAAGAGAGAGAACCTTGTGACCATGGGCCACCGTGACTGGGCCTTGAAGTGCGAGAGAAAGAGAGAGCGCAGCCATGTATAACATGATGGAGGTGCTGGAGGAAAGAGCCTTGAATGCCCAAGAACAAAGCAGGGTGTATACTCTGTAAATTAAGAGAGCTGCTGCAGGGTGTGGCCTGATTTCTAGGAGAGGGTGGGAGAGAGGCAGTGGAGGGTCTGTGATGTCATGGATAGGTACACGCATGCTCTTAGGCTATTGCAAGAACAGTGCGGAGTTCTCAACACTGTGCCTGACAAAGGAGAGCTAGGGATGGACAGACCAGGATGACACCTGATGCACGAGGGTTGAAAACAGGCACCGAGGAACTGGCTCTAAATCGCTGCTGTTTTCACATGTGCTTACAGCAGCTACTCGCGGGCCCATGGGATGAGAGGTTCACATTGTACTCAGATAGTGAGGGCAGCTGGGAAGGGAAGGTTGACATCCTTAGGCACACACAGGCACAGAAGGGACAGAGCCTAGGAAGGCACGTGCTG